CCAGTCGCTTGCTTTGTCCTGATCCATAATAAAGCGGCTAATCTTATATTAGCAAGTTAGATCTCATAAACTTCTATAGGACGCATCCGTCCCTTTAAGTGCTTTTTGTTAATGCTAGAAATCCAAATTCAAAAAACCTTACGTGGCAGAATTAACAGTAATCAGAATGATAGTCTTTTGTCATGTTGTGGTAGCATTGTCTCCAACACATGTCCACCAAGGTCGGACCACCTTCGTCATACTACGTGATTGGCGCTGCGGACTAGCGCCTTCGGCAAGGGCACATTCATTGGACGGGCAGCGTGTCTAAACTGGGCACCATGAGTCAACCAGGGATTCTACAAAAAAGGCAGCAGGAAATAGGCAGACCATGTTGGCAGGCCTTGGCAAAGCGTATGCATTTTCAGGTAAGGCGCAAGCCACACCCAAACGTCTCTCTCTCTAAAAACTTTTCAGACAGGTGTAACTGTTCGGTTGTCGATGAAGATGTGGCCTGGGAATGGCACTCCTTGATCTGTTCTGTTGCGCCCTAGAACTACAGATTGGTTGAGACGCATGAACAAAAAAATTAACGGTTAAAGAAGACGAGGGCGGCGACCTTAACCATCGTTTTCGGCTTACTTTGCGTCTTGTTGACACACCCCACGGGTGCAGTGCCTATGACAGACTTGAGTACATATGAGTTAGAAATAGGTACTTCAGTTTCCCCTTTTCTTGTGGGTGAGGCTTTTTCGACAGCGCAGAACATTTCACCGACCAGTCCCTCCCCCCATCCGCGTCGTGAGGGCGGCGGATGGGAGGTAATTGCGTCCTGGGTGTTTCCAGACGATGTAACGTCTTGTTTCGAATCAAATGAGACAACCGTCTGTGTGCTATGGTGCGTGTCTTCTCGTCACTTGGAGCTGTCCCAACGAAGATACTACGGAATTAAATGCTGAAGACGGAGTATAGTCAACATGCACCCCCATGCCCCACGGAACTTGGGCGAATACGAGAAATAGACAATCCTGATGTGAACTCCAGCCTCTGTTGTCCCCCTAAGGAGGCGAAGACGCTCACAAAAATAACCGGTGTCGGATCATAGTTTCAGGGTGATACCGTAAGCATAACTAACACCTGGCTCTCTGCGACCCAAAAAACTGGTAGAGGAAGATTAGAATTGCCACTTCAAGTCCGTTCTCTGCCAGCAAGCAGTAGTACCGCGGGCCTGAACGGTGGTCGCAGATCTGAACCCAGGTCGGTTGGCCAAGACGTATTTGGGTCAAACAGGGGCTACGCCCAGTCGTCTGCGGTCGGCAATATTGAAAGTTACGCGGAGGTGAAGTTCACGTCTCATCCCGTTTGCACGACAGGATAAGTGCAGTACAGTCTTTTAGGCAAACTAGCTCGATGACCACTTCCCATGGTCGTGTTGTCAACCGGCGCTCAAAGCTTTTAAAAACTTTCTTCTACCGTTGACTCAACTCGAACCTCCCCCCCACTTGCCGGTACTGTTTGCTTAGTGTAAACATAACTAGTTCAGTCTCACTGAGAAATTGCTCGTTGGACATTTAAGCTAGGTTTTTCCTGCTACTAGGATATAAGAATTGAGAGATTTTTTCACTAATTTTATTGGGCAAGGCACAGATATGTTGACCTCTGTGAATTGAATTCCTGCAAAGTGTCTTTTTGTGCATTGAAACAAGCGTTCGGTGCAAATACGATTTCTCTTTTATGTACATTAAAAAACGCCACTTATCCTTTCTTTATAGGCCCCTAGTGCTGCCGTTCACGTTTTACAGATGACCTTGTTAAGTACAATAAAACAACGTGCTTAGACAGATCGTAAGGGCCATCCTTTCTCATTGCAGCGCTTTATCTGGAAACGGTTCCTTTACCGATGTAACTATAGCCCTTTTTAGTAATGCCAGTGTGGTCTCAGCGGCTGTTTCGAGGAAGTGGCTATACTACACGCTCCACAGTGGAAACTTTTCGCTCCGCACTGTGTAAATTTGCCATGCGAAAAGTGTACTCAAGTAACCAATTCAAGTTTGATTTGCTATTTCGTGCACATACACTAAAAGCGGTACTTTTCATGCCTTCATAAGAGGCAATCAGTAGACGTGTGTTGCCTCACATGCTGAACAGATGTCTTCCATAATTACTTGCCATGCGGTCGCACAAACTTTCAGACTCGCATTAATGATTACATTTTTTTTACAAATTTATATTCCAATTCCTCCAAATGTTTAGTCTATCAGCACTGCCCGTGAAAACGACCCTGAGACGTTTTTTTAGCAGAAACCCTGTTTAGATGAGATATTTGGTGCCTGGCGAAGTGTCCGTAGCCGAGAGCGTGCGGTATTTAACAAGTGGGTGGGAATCGTCCTAGAACGCGCCATAGAATTTGGATCACAGGACGGCACTTTCACACGAGTCGCCGTCGTCGCGTGCATAACCGAAGTCAGTGCGCTCAGCTGAAATGTCAACACCCTAGCCATTTAACAGATAACACTGAAAATCGGGTGAAGTACATGGGTTCTTCGCAATTCATCTTTAGTTTAGGCGAAGCCATGTTCTTACCCGCCCCCAGCTGTTTGGCCTAGATCTTGCAAGTCCACATTGGATACTCATTTCCTAATACAGAGCATTGATTGGCTTATTAATTTCTCTCGACACCCTCGTTTTGGCTGTAAATCCGACAGGGTTCCATAGAATGCTCAAATGTGACTGAAGAAAATACAAAAAACACAGTGTCAATTCCAGCGTGCTTATTCAAGCCAGACTTCATTGGACTCACGCATGTACAAGTGGCCGAAGTCGGGTCGAATTAAAAGAGCTAACTTCCACAAGTTAGGCTTACGACGAATGTACTACTGTTG